GGTCCCGCCGGCGCAGGGTAGCAGGAAGCTCTCCACACACTCACCGTACCTGGGCTAGGACTGGGTCTGGGGGTTCCCGGAAGTCGGCAGAAATTGCTACTCGGCGGGAGGGGTGGGGGGCGGCCCAAGGGGTTGGGAGAGGGTCCGGCCCACGCTGCGCCTGGGCTGGGACTGGTCCCGCAGGCGCAGGTATTACCCTTTTTTTAAACAACCATTTACTTGAGAGACAGTATGGCAGTAATTGATATGACATACTGTTTGTCATGTCATATAAAGACTTCTCTTTTGCTGAATGCACTCACCTACAATATTTAAATGGTAATGGAACACCCATCTCTGACAAAACTAAACAAAAAATGTGATATAAATGAAGGACCATTTTGTAGTGAAAAAAATATAAACATATGTATATACAAATTAGTTAGGATAGTTATACAGCTACTTTCCCTTAGTTCAATGAGAAGAAAGATTTTTACTAATAGTATTTAGACGAGATATCATGTCTGCATCTTGTACTATGAATAACTACTACGAAGACAACACTATGCAATGTATTAATTATTGTAACTGTCCTACTAAGCTGTTTTGAAACTGTCTCATTGCTATCTATTTCTCAATAAAATTAATTTTAAAAAATAAATAAAGACTTGTCCAAATACACCTTCTCTAATAGCAATGGAACACCCATCTCTGACAAAACAAAAAAAGGGGGGCTATAAATAAAGGACCATTTTGCAGTGGAAAAAATATATGTATATTACAAAATAGGATAGATACACATCTACTTTCTCTTAGTTCAATGAGAAGAAAGGTTTGTACTAATATTGCTTAGACAAGATATCATGTTTACATCTTATCCTCTGAATTCCTTTGAATAACTTATATGAAGACAACAATATGCAATGTATTAATTATTGTAACTGTCCTAGTAACCTGATTTGAAACTGTTTCATTTATTTTTTCTCATTAAAATTAATTTAAAAAAGGGGGCCATGGAGATGGCTCAGTAGAATAAGTGCTT